GGCCTATTTTTTAAAGCTGATGTTGAGATTCTAAAGTGATTGTATCCTAGATGTAATCAATCTGATTCCCATGCTTACAAAGAGATGAAATCCATGTGTATAGCCAAAATTTATGTTTCTTATACAAAGTTTTTCTAATGAATAAGTCACAGATTTAAAAAAAAATCCATCATTCTATCTTGAGACTCATTTCTGTCACCAGATCCATCTTTTCCTAATACTGACCCTTCTTCCTTGTCATTCCAGTCACCCATTATTATTAATGCATCTTCATTGTGTGTTTGATTTCTGACTGAAAAAGTTGGTGGAAATAATTTTTTCCTTCTCTTTGGCTCTGGTAGTTGGTACATATATTTGAACGACAAAATGTAAAAATTATAAAAATGATAATTATAACTGATATCAAATGCAAGCAAAATCCATTTTAAGATTATCCAAAAATAACACAAATAGTACATTTACAGAAATTGATCAGAAATACAAGCCAGGTTTAGAAAAAGCTGTGGCACTAGGGACATTATTGTCAAAATCATATGGATATTGGCTGAAAGCAGAGTACAAGAGGAATATCTATCTGGGTTTCATTGACTATGCAAAGGCATTTGACTATGTAGATCACAACAAATTGTGGCTAAGAAGAATAGGAATCCTTGAACACTTGCTTGTGCTTAGGTGAAACCTCTACTTGGACCAGGAAGCAGTATTCAGAACAGTGCAAGGAAACAATGTGTAGTTCAAAATCAGGAAAGGAGTGTGTCAGGGATGCATAATGTCTCCACACATTTTCAATCTGTATGTTGAAAAAAAAATCATTTGGGAGGCTTGTCTTTATGAGGAGGAAAGTGGCATCAAAATAGGAGGAAGATTCATTACCAACCTGTGTTACAGAGATGACACGAATCTTGCTTGTGGAAACGGAGGAGGATCTGAAGTGCTTGTTGCAGAGAGGCCCAAGAACTACAGTCTTCAATGTGAATTGAAGTTCAACATCAAGAAGAGAAAGATTCTCACGGTGGAGCAAATTGGCAGCACCATAATAGATGGAGAAGAAATTGAGGTTGTTAATAATTTTAGCTTGCTTGTTTCCAAAATAATACACTCTTGGCTCCAACAGTCAGGAAATCAAAAGATTAATTGCATTGGTGAAGTCGGTTGTCAGGGATATCTCCAAATTATTAAAGAACAATGATGTCAATCTAAAGACTAAAGTGCACCTGTTCTCGGCCGTGGTTTTCACATCAGAGAGCTGGACAATGACTAAGGATGACAGAAGAAGAATTGATGCCTTTGGACTGTGGTACTTGAGAAGAGTATTGAACATAGCGTGGGCTGCCTAGAGAATAAACAGATCTATCTTGGAAAGGGTGAAACCAAACTCTCCTTGGAGGCTAGGCTTTTTAAGCTCCAACCCACATACTTTGGAAATGTAGCCAGAAGGAGACAAGTCCTTGGAGATGCATATCATTCTTGGAAGGGTGAAGGAACGACACCAAAAAGAAAACTCTGCATGAGATGGATTGACACATTAATTGAGATTTTAGAGTAAGGTGTATTGGAGTAAATGAGACTGGCTTAGACATTGACATGTATTGTGGATAGTGTTGCTGTGAGTGGCAGATGACTTGATGGCACATAATAACAACAGCATTGTCTATTATATATTTTACTTTTTGTGTATTTTTGTTAATTTCTATGTTTGTCAAATTGCCTCTAAGTGTATTCCTGATGAAAGTATAGATTTCGCATAAACACTATCAAGTGTTCTGTGATTTCTATTCTTCTCAGAGTTATCAGAGTTTGTTGTGATCCACACAGTCAAATGTGTTTGCATAGTCAATGAATCACAGATAGACATCACCCTGTTACTCCCTGCTTTCAACCAATATCCATCTCACATAATTTATAATACCCTTAATAGCACGACCTCTTCTAAACTCAGCCTGCACTTCTGGCAGTTCTCTGCTGATGTGCTATTTCAGTTGTTTTTGGATAAATTTCATCAGAGTTTTGCTTGTATGTGATATTAATGATAATGTTTCATAATTTCCACACTCACTCAGCTCACCTTTCTTTGGAACGTGAACAAATATAGATCTCTTCCAATCAGTTGGCCAGATGCCAACTGCCAGATTTCTTGGCACAACTTGGAGAGCAGTGTCTATTTGTGGAAATATGTATATTAGTATGTCATCAATTCCTGGGGCCATGGCTTTTCCAGTTCTTTCAGAGCAGCTTGAACTTCTTCCTTCATCACTATAGACTCTTGAATATCTGGTGTTTCATGAAATTCTTTGTGTCTGTCAATTCCTTTAAGTTCAGTAACTCTATATACTCATTCCATCTTCTTTTAATGCTGCCTGTAACATTTACTGTTCTGACCAAAGCATCTTTAAGTATTGTAACTCAAAGCTTTAATTTGTTCTACAGTTCCTTCAGCTTAAGAAATGCTAAGCAAATTTGGCCCTTCTGATGTTCTGACTCCAGCTCTTTGCATATTTTATGGTAATATTTTACATTGTCTTCTCGCATTTCCCTTTGAAATCTTCTCTTCATTTTTTGTACATGATTCAAAATTGAGAAGAGTATACGCCATGGATGTGCTGGAGAAATGTGGTATCAGGATTGGAGGAAGATTCATAAACAGTCTGCATTACACTGATGACACAACCTTGTTTCCTGAAACTGGTTGGACCTGAAGCATTTGCTGCAGAAGGTAAGGGACTACAGCCTTAAATACGAATTGAAACTCAACATCAAAAAGACAAGTAATTCTCACCACTGGACTGACTGGCAGCATCACAAAACACGATGAAGGGACTGAGGTTGTTAACAGCTTCAGTTTGCTTGGTTTCACAATCAACACTCTTTGTTCCAGCAGCTAGGATATCAAAACATGAATTGCATTGG